AGTCCAAGATAAATGAACTGCGAAGTAGTGAGGGACTATTGTATTCTGGGGTGTAGGTGTGTTTGTTCCTTCTGAAGTCCACAGTCATCTCCTTCATCTTCTTCACATTGATGTGAAGGTTATTCTCTTTGCACCAGCTCTCCAGGTGTTCCACCTCCTGCCCGAGTTCTCACACACCATTTTTACCTGTTTACACTCCCCGGGGGCGGACGTACAGGCGGCGTGTGACGTCATTCACCCCACCACTGCAGCGCTACAATCACAACACCCCGAGGCTTTCTTTGTAAGTTCTGGGGACTTTAACCATGTGACACTGGACTCCACACTCACGTCTTTTCACCAGTTTGTGGACTGCCCCACCAGGAACAACCCAACTACTGAGCTGTTGTATGCTAATCTGAGGGAACAGGGCAACCCCACTACCCCCACTGGGAAAATCTGACCACTATCTGGTTCTCCTACAGCTTCTGTACAAACCAATGGTACTGACTGAGACAGCCCATCATCACATGCTCATTCTGAGTTTGGTCTCCTGAGGTGGAAGAAGCTCTCAAGGACTTCTTCAACACAACAGACTGGAATGAACTGCTAGATCCACATGTGGAGGACACAGAGGGAGCAGCACGCTGCATTACTTCTTCTTCTTCTATCGGCTGATCCCTTCGTCAGGGGTCGCCACAGCGAAGTCGCACTGCATTACTGATCACATGAATTCAAAAAAGTTCAAGACAAATTTGAATTTTGATCCCCAATTGAACCGAGTCTACCGGACTATCAAGTGTGAAAACAACCTTAGTTTGATTCACAGACGGGCCACTCTGGTCACACGGTTAAAATTCCTGACAGGTGTGAAAATGGCTGGGTATCAGGCTTAAAGGTGCATTATACGTTTTTGAAAGCTGAAATCTGAGACCTCCTCCTCTTATGTGTTAAGAAAGTTCCTCGGATGAGAAGTGAAACGTCTTCAGCTACAAAACAGAAGTCCAGTTGTTTTTGCTTGTAATCTTGTTTGGATGCTATCACACCAGTTGTGGCCGCTGTGATGTCGAGGTAGGGCAGCCAACTTGGGACCAGAAAGACGCAGGCTCAACACAATGCCCACATGTCGCGGTATCTTTTAGGCCATCTGTCTGAACTCTTACTCCTATTTGGATGGTCTCCGGGTCATCCGCCAGAACTGTAAGGATCATGCCCAGGGCTGTCCATTTTTGTCATTGTATTGGACTATTTGAGTTCCCAGGTTATATCTTATTGTTTCTTTTATTTTAATGACCCATTTTTTTCTTTAATCCATTTTTCTGTGTATATTTTCCTGTTTTTGCGTTCTTGCCCTTTCAGGCAGCGCAACAGTAATTTTAAATAGAAAAAAAACACTATTTAGATTTATTTTAATGATTATATTATATTGTTTTTAGGTTATAACTGCACATAAAAATCAATTATAAAAACAAGTGACACAAACAAACAACATAAAGGACCGGAACAGAATTCACATTGGAGGCTGTAGTTCCAACTGCTGCCACCAGGGGCGCTGCAGGCTGCGTTTCAATTCAACCAACATTTGGATTAAAATGCAAACCAGTGCCAGATGTATGACATTTATTGTATTTATAAAGTGGTGGGGTTTTGCAATACACAATAATTGTTTTTAAAATGTCCAAATTTGTGACAGTTTTTGTATTTTTGTGCACCAAAAAATGTTCAAAAGAAAAAAGAAATCCCATCTGACCAGCCAGACTGGTTGCAAGGCACGCGACCCCCCTCCTCTCATGTGAGTGTGCTCTCCAACCACAGCACAGACCTCATCCCCCCCCCACCCTGGCCTTGTGGGACAATTAAGGTGACCCCCCACACACACACGCACACACACACATGTACACATACCGTTACTATAGTCTGGGTCAAAATAGGATAATTTCAAAGTAACAGTAGAATATTTCATAATGTTCTATCTGACAGCCCTGACACAAACTGTGTGTTTACATCCTGCTCCTTACAGCTGTTTGTATAACTAATAATCATGATTTAAATCACAAACTGCTCATCAGATCAACAAACTGCTGTAATAAAGAACATTTAGAGTCTTACCGGGGTTCCTACAGTCATGTCGTTCTGCTTTTACTTCATTTAATCCTCCTGATCGTCTCCAGCTCGGCTTCAGCATGACTGACCTCCCTGAACTCGCTCTGCTCACTCACCTGACCCACTAACTAACCCACCAGCTGACTACCAGGAGGATTACCAACTAACAGCAGAAAGAGTAAACTCAGCCCCAGTCCGTCTCGCCTTCCTGGATTAAAAGTTACTGTGAAACCAGGGGCAAGAAGAAACAAGTGAAGAGAGAGAAAGTGATAGTAACGTGGAGAACGAGAGGAAAGAGAGAGAAGAGAAAAAGAAAACAGCAGCAGGAACAGACTTGTCTTGTTTTTCTGGTCGTTATGAACCCGATTCAGGTGGAGAAACCTGCAGGAAGCGACAGATTGAATGGGTGAAGGAGTGGAAAGAGATGCTGCAGGCGTGGATTAGTACCGCTGCGGCTGCGGCTGCTCATGAATCATTCGTGTCAAACAAGAGAACAGAACGCAGCTCAGACATGAAAACTAAAGACTTTCACTGTAAAACACTCAGACCCGCTGTGGACGCCGAGCACTGAAGGACAACTGCTGAAGGAGGGGACATGGACATGTTAAAGCTCAAAGAAGCAGATATGTAGCTAAAGCAGAAAAAGATTATTTAACAGTGTCAAATGGTTAGCCCCAAACCAAAATTAACAACAGGCTAACTCAAAGCTAAAAGTATCAAAATGTTAAAGTGTTATTAATAGGTTAGCTAAAACTAAAAGTAGGTTCACCCGAAGACACTCAAGATGGCGCCGATGATGTAGGCTGCGTCTCGGAGCGTTCCCGTCAGGCCTGATGGAAAACTCATTTTTATAACGGCACTCTCGCTTCCTTTGGGCTGGATTCTGTTTCCGAGACCGGTGTCGCCGCAGTACTGGACCAACAAGCTGGTGATGTGGCCTCTAAGCACAAACAATCTAAAGTTTTCCATCGTCTCCACAGCTACATATCGCTAATGCTAATGCTAGCGCTTCGGCCTGCCGTGTGAGAGACGCCGGAGAGGCGGCGGCTTCGGAGGGAGAGACGACTCGGCTCTGGGGTCAGACCTCCTGGCCTCAGTAAGAGCCGGTGTTGCAATGATTCACAAAGAACTGGGAGCAGCTCTGACCGAACATTTTGACTTCATCAAGAGTGAATTGTTGGAGGTTCGGGCCGAGATGACGAACGCCGCTGCGTCTCTCAGGGCGGAGATCGACCGGGCAGGGTCTGCTAATTTGGAACTGGAATAGCTGCGTTCAACAGCGATGGAGCTGAGGACCGAAACTGATGGGCTAAAAAAACAGTCCGAAGCCGTAGAGGGCAAACCAGACGCGATACCATTAGGATTATTGGACTTCCCGAGTCGGCGGGTTCACCCACTGTGATTGCTAACATGCTAACGGAAGTCCTAAAACTGGATAAACCACCGCTGATAGACTTCGTGTACCGGACACCGGCCAGGGGCAGCTCGGATGGGAGACCCAGAGTGGTCGTGGCCAAGCTCCGTTACCGTCGGGAACGTGTGGAGACTCTGCAGCGGCGGTCGAATAAACTTCAAAGGGTCGGCCGTGTTCATCTCGGCTGACCGCTCCACACAGGTGGCAAGATCACGAGCAGCTTTCACCGAGGTGAAGCGGCTCCTGCGGAACGAGTCGGGGTTAAATATGGCCTCCTTTTCCCTGCGAGACTCAGGGTCACGTACAGAGGGAAGGACGGGGTTTTTGTCGACCCCAAAAGAGCAGTGGTGTGCAGTAGTTCCTCACTATTTCACGGTTCATTTTTCGTGGAATCGCTCTATCACGGTTTTTCAAAATAAGATTGGACATGCCACACAACTGGCTGATTGATGGATGAGCCGCACCATCGGCATGGAATTATTATTTACAATAAATCATTTTAAATTATTTAGCACCTGCTGCACCTCTGTGCAGCCCACACTGCAGGAAAAACTTCCTGCTGCAGCTGATCAGCTGTTCTCCATGCAGAGCAGAGAAGTGGGTGTGGCCAAGAACACAGGAGGCAGAGAGCTGAAATCATGGTACTCTGTGCTCTTTTAGAGCGTTTAGAGTTTAGAAACATTGTTTATTGTAATAGTGTGGGAAGGGTTTAAAATGCCTTTATATACATTCATACATATATATATATATTAAAATATACCACTACTTACTACTTGTACTACTATTTCTACTTTGCGGCTTTTCACTTATCGCGGGTCTTCGGGGTACGGATCCCCTGCGATAAACGAGGGACTACTGTACATCAAAGGAAACATTATTCCAGGTGCGAGCGGCGGGGATGGAAGCAGATTAAAATAATTCAAAGAAACATCAGGACCGTCACTTACATGTGGAACTGAATTTTTCCTCCAAGTTAACTGAACTCCAGGAACGCCACCCTCTACTGTGTGGGAGGCATTAAAGGCCTACCTGAGGGGTCAAATCATTTCTTACTGCGCAAACAACAAAAAGGGGTGGGCGTGGCTAGAACAGATAACGGATGAGATGCTGCAGTTAGACAGAGAACGTAGCCACTCCTCACAGAATCTAATGAAAAAACATTTATCACTTCAAACTGAACTGAACACTTTGTGCACGCAGCAGGCAGAGTATTAATCTCTAAATCTAGACGGGGTTCTTACGAACACGGTGAAAAAGCTGGGCGCCTGCTTGCACATCAGCTGCGGCGACAGTCAACCAATAAACAATGAAGAGGGAGCTGCACATCACGAAAACACTGAAATTAATACGTTTTAGTAAATTTTATCAGCCATTGTACACGACTGAGTCAACAGCTGGCGTATGGGACATGGAGGATGTTTTTTAAAATCGTGAGTTTCTTTCAGCGACTCCTGTTCTCACTGAAGACCTGGAGAATGAGTTCTCTGTGGCTGAGATTAACTCTGCAATCAACAATATACAAAAATGGGAAATCCCCTGGACCAGCCGGTTTCCCATCTGAGTTTTTAAATACATTTTCAAGTGTACTCTAGCCCTGATTGAGCTCTGTGTTTGAGGAGTCACTGCGCACACGTTGCCCCTGTCCATGCATCAAGATGTAATCTCACTGACTGATAACAGATGAAGACCCTCTAAACTGTGGCTCATAAAGACACATCTCGCTTTTAAATACTGATGTTACGTCTTTGCAAAGGTCCTGGCAAAATGACTGGAGCGCGAGACACTACTGTCTCGCCTGGTCACACTGGGTTTGTTAAAAGCCGTCAGGCTTTCTTCAGCGTTAGGCTTGATGTGCTGTACACTCCCAGCCCACCTGAACACACCTGTGATGAGGTCACCGTGCCATTAGATGTGTACAAAGCATTTGACCGGGAGGAGTGGGATTACCTCTTAGAGACTTTAAACTTATTTAAATTTGGTCCCAAACTTATATCATGATCTGATGTATACCGGCGGCGCTCTGCACCAACTGTAACATCTCTTCGTATTTAAACTGCAGCGGGGCACGAGACAGGGGTGTCCACTCTCACCACTTCTATTTGAGTTGACAATAGAACCGCTGGCTTTAAGGCAGAACTCCATCAAGAGGATAAACCGACTAGGTACAGAACACAAAGTCTCTTTATATGCAGACGACATGCTTTTATATATATCAGACCCCCGTACAAGTGTCTCTGAATTACTTAACTTGCTTCAAGAATTCTGGAGAGTATCTGGTCATAGGGTCCAACAGAGCGAACTGACGCCTGCGACCTCCATAGAAAAGAAAATCTTTGACCCGTTCCCTTTAAAATTAGTTAAAAAATTAAATACCTTGGGATTTGAGTAACTCGAGATCATAGAAACCTCTATAAAACCAGTTATCTACCTCTAATTTAAAACATAGCTAGCCACATATTTAACCTCAACATGCGGCCTAATGGCTCAAGAGTTTAATCAGAATTACTGTAAATCTCAGGCTATTTAAAAAATAAACGTTATTTTAAATAAAGTAGTGATGTCATTCAAAAATTAAACTAAAAGACTTTTCATAGTTAAAAAAAAAATCTAGATAAATGAAGGAGGGTCATCACAGACTTTTACTTTGTAGATGTCCTGACTTCCTGCTCTCCTTTTCAAACTCATCGTTCAAGTGAAGTTTTCATCACTCGTCTTCCTCACCTTTCAGTCGCTGTCCTGCCCTCTGGCTCCTTCCTCCCATCCACTCTGCGTCCTCCTCCTGCTCCTCCTGCTCCTCCTCTTCCTCTTCTTCTTGTGGATTGTCGTTAGATTGTCGTCTTTTTCCTCTTCGCTCATCTGTTGTTCTGACTTTACTTCTGTCTTCTCTGCCACAACCTTTTCTGCACCCACCCACTCACTCATTACCACACACACACGCACGCACGCACACACACACGCACGCACACACACGCACGCACGCACACTTTCTATTCATCCAAGGCTACAGGTCCCCTTCAGGCTCCAGTGTTGATTATTGTGCGCTTGTTCCTGTAGTTGTCCCTCAGCAACATTTCACAGCGAGGATAAAAACAAACTAACAAGACAACAACAACAAAAATACAGTTTTTCACAACTTTTCCTCTCCAGCTGTTTGATGAGATTCTACTGGGACTCAACCAGCAAGACTGAACTGGTCTTCCACCAGCGGTCCAAGCTAAACTAAAATGAGCAGACTCCACAGTTGACCACACAAACCTTCCTTTGTTTTACATAAAGTCAGATATAAATAAACCGACACTAACGTTCTGCCTGAACCTTCTGGACACAACTGGAACACACCAGAGTACAGTGTGCAAGTACTGTCGACTACGTCATGCTAGCTGCATGGTAACATGGTGTGCCACAAAACAAGTAATATGTTGATGAGGTCCAGGTCAAAGTTGTTTACTGTCATTCACATCATATGTGACATATGAGGTGGAACCAAGGTCCCAGTTACATCCAACAATAACAAAATATGAAGTGTAAAAGAAACAGTAAATAAAGATCTAAGATATAAAATAAGAAATACGCTAAACAAACGTCAAACTAAATTCTAAAGATCTAAGATCTATGTTAGTCGCTAATAATGTAAAACAATACACGGAACAACAGCAGCACGAACATGAGTCTGTGTGAGCAGAGGAGTATGAATGAACACAGCAGCATGAGGTCAGCAGCATGGATAATCAGCAGCATGAGGTCAGCAGCATGGATAATCAGCAGCATGGGGTCAGCAGCATGAATAATCAGCAGCATGAATAATCAGCAGCATGAGGTCAGCAGCATGGATAATCAGCAGCATGGATAATCA